ACTTTAAATACCAGAGATCAGGTATATTTCTTCTGATATATAACGAATTGGAATTGGGCTTATATTTGGGAACTGTCAGAACTGCAAAAGCCTTAAAATATGTATACCGATTTCAAAACTCATAAAAGTACATATTATGGTGTTCAAATGAAGCTTCTAAAGTCTCATTGATTCTTGTCTTCTGAATTATGATGGGATTATTACCTTGCAGGAGACAAATTTTGAGTTATTTCTTGGTAGCCATTCTAAAATACAAGAAAGAACTACATCATGATACTGTTACAAAAACACATCAATCAGATAGATTTTTCTGCCTACATGGTATTTTAACTTGCCACTAAAAGTGGCAAAATAGTTATAAGCAGTCGACATGAGCTTTCTTTAGTGTCCTACGCTGATGTGTATCTAGCTCTCTTTTTAGACATCTAAGACAAGAGAACTTTCATTCATTGATGTCAAAAACATAATTGAACCTTTATTTTGTTTTTTCATTATCACTAGTATAAGAAGTCTAGAGGATATTTTTGAAATGATGCATACCCTTAAACTCTGTTTCATTTATACAAAGTATCACATCAGAATGCAGTTTATATTTGGGCTTCTTTTTCAAATTTTTAAATTTTTTATTGATTTTTTTTTGATGTATTTCATACAGAACTTCTCAAACAAACTTAATCACTTTATACTCCCATCCTTTTTGACAGGTGCTGGGATGCTGCAGCAAACTTTCATTTGGCTTTAAACTATCTCTTCTGAAATACAGAGTTTTTCACATACCCCTCAGATTCATTAAAACATAAAATAAAGTAGTTTTATTACATTTTTCATTGTTTAAAGATGCAAATATGCTATACTCAACAGGAAAAGCCAACAATAACACTGCAGTTCAACACCTTTCTTCTTCTATTGTCGTATTTCCTTTCATATAGAAGCCCTCACACCATCTTCCCTAGCAAGAACTTCCTCTAATTTGTTTAAATTCTACTTTTTAATGAAATTATTTTAATATTTTCTGCTGTTTAATATCAAGATTCCTCCCCACAGACTAAGACATCAGCCATCCTCAAAAGCTGCATGCAGAAAACTTTGTTTTTATGGAAAACTAGGTGTTATAATAAAACTACCACCACAAAGGCAACACTCATAAATTTATCATTTATCTGTTAGTAGTCAAGATTGATCAATAGTATTTCAAAATTGTTTCAGGGCTGATTTTTTGAACATTGTTAATTTTCTGCAGTTCAAGCTCTAATATTTAAAGTTCATTATGAAATTCAATTTATTGCGCTGTGAATGAAGAAATGCTAGATGATTGGTTTATTGACGTTCTAAGCTGTCATTCTGATCATTTATACTCATCACCTAAATCATTTCCCATTTCCCCAAATCATAAGAAATATATCATGTTGGTTCAAAATACAGCACTAAGCTACTGTTAGTAAACTTCTTCAAAATCATAAATTTACTGCTATTTACTAAAATAAGTGAAAGTCATTTTAAGAATATCATCACGGGTAATTGAAAGTGTCTAAAGATGCTAAAACAGAAGTTCATCTTCAGTAACCAGAGATAACTTTGAGAAAGATACTAAACAAAAGATCTACAAGAAAAGCGTCAAACATGTACGTGAGGAATTGTTCTTATCCTCAACTTGAGTTGTAAAATTTCGTAGAAATGACTCAGAAACTATTCTCAATGTCATGAATGTATAATACGGTTAAATCAGCAATGTTGGATGGTATCATTAAACGGCAAAATTGCATAGAAAGAATGTCCATAGGCAAAACATATTACCAGATCCTTTGTGTCTTTATAAACAGAATTTGGAGTCCATCAGGATCTGAAGTTCAGTCTGATTTCCTTCAAGTTGCTTCACAATACATTTCCTGAGATACTGAATTCAGAATAGATATTACATGAAAATAAAAATTATGTCGATCAAGTTTTCTTTATCCATAGGATTTAATGTGTATAAACACATTTTTTTCCAGAATACTAATTCAGAGAGTGACACTTTGAACCATTTTTTTTTTATTTTGTCAAAGATTAGTTGTAAAATAGTATATGTTCTGTGGAGTAAACATTTTTCAAGGAGAATATTTCATTCAATATTCAAAATTAGGAATAAAAATTCTCACTGTAAAAATATCAATGAAACGTTTAGAATGTTCGTAAAGAATGTTTATTGGAATATCATACTGAAAAATGATACAAATTGAATAAAGAAGGAATTTTCATGCCCACAACACAGCAGGGTGATGACAGCTCAAGTAATCAGGAAAGGCAATCATTACAGATGGTCATATTTTCAGTAAAGTCCAGAAGAACAGTATCTGCTGTAGAATGGACTGAAGGAGCCATAGCCAGAGCCACTGTAGCCCCCAAGACCATAGATGGAGCCATAACCATAGCCTAGGCCACCGAAGCCACCAAGACCATACCTGGAGCCATAACCATAGCCCAGGCCACCGAAACCACCAAGGCCATAGCTGGAGCCATAGCCATAGCCCAGGCCACGAAAGCCACCAAGGCCATAGCCAAGGCCACCATAGTAGTTGCTGTAGTAGTAACTCATAGTGTCAGAGGCTGAGTGAGGAAGGGTTGGTGTGGAAGGTGTTTTCTGGGAATGAATGTCAATCTCTGCACCAGGGCTTTTATACTTTACCAGTGCAGGTGTGGCAAACCACAACAAAGAAGTATCCTTTGAAAATGTGTTTTTGATGAAAAAGAATATCATTAATATACACTTTGCATATTAAAGGTACTTCCAAAGACAAATGGAGGCATTCTTGCTTTGAACTTAGCTTTGTTTTTATCCTCAGAACTAGGTATTTATTAACTAGTGGTCTGGTCAGCTAGATCATACTGTCACAGTTTGTGCCTGTGTGTCTTGGGTATCAAGCCCCTTTGCTTGAAAAAGCCTGGGATTGTTATCAACGTAATGGCAATGATCTCTTCATTTAATCTCCAATTGGATTCTTTTAACAGATGCACAGTCTTCTCTATTTAAGAACAAATAAAGTAGTAAACAATTGTTAAATAACCAGGAATGAATGATATAGATTTGAAATCATGGACAGGCTGTGGCTTTACTGCTATGTTAGCATAGCAATGTGATAAAGATCTAAGTATCTTATCTGTGAACAGGTAATGTTAATGAAATCCAAGCCTGGTTTTCAAGTATCGTCAAAATTATTTATGTGTTACAACCTTTGCAATTAGATGAGGTCTTTCAAATGATCCACCAAAAATTTGATTTTATATCTTACTTTACTTTTGAATTTCACTTTGAGGCAACACATGCCCATTTTCTATAAAGCTTTTTTCAATCATTTTAGTGCATGAATAACAACTACAAAATGATGCCCTTTTTATGGTCTTTTTGAGACAGAGTCTCCCAGTAGCACCAGATGGCCTGGAACTCACTATCTAGACCAGGCTGGCCTTGAACTCACAAAGATCTGCCTGCCTCTGCCCTCCAAGTGCTGGGATTAAAGGCATGTACCACCACACCAGGTAAACTGATGCAATTTTAAGTTCACATTGACTCCTTAGAATTAGAATCATTGTTTATGTTTCATCTTTAAATGGTTATTAAAGTTGAACAGGTTTAAAACATTTTAAGGCATGGATCTTGTGTTGATATTCTTGCTGTCATATATTAGAAAATACAAATCAATTGAAATTTAGAAGTTATCAGAATCTATTTCTTGGCAAAGATGTCAATATTAAGTTTTTGATATGGCTTCTTTATAAGAAAAAATGTATACAAAATGATCTTTCATTGTGAAGAGTATTAAAATAGGTCATCATAATTAAGACTAATGTTAATCATAGTAATCAAACATCTATTACAGACCTTTGCATGGGAAGATGACTTATGAGGAGTGCACTAGGCAGACTTTAACAATCTCATGTCATAGAATGACCTTGAAACTTGGACAGCCTTCCACAGACTCCACTCACACGCAAGAATATGACTTTACTTTGTCATCACTTTTTTTAATGATTTTACTCCCTAACCCAAATCACAGAATACAATTCATGATCCACCCTAGTCATAAGGCATTATAACAATCAACTATACCTGAACTATATCATGCTTTGTTCATTCAGGACTTTCTGTGCCTACACTTGCCTCTGACCATAAAGCATAACCTTGTTACTTACCCATGGCTTCTCCTATGTCTGTACTTCATTTTTGTCCCCTGACTAATATGCTAAAAAATATTTTCTCTCCTGAAACATTGAGGTCAGAATAGACACATCATTAAAAGTTTTTATTCATAATATTAAAATTATATATTTCTGTAATCAAAAGAACTAAATGCAATCCTAGGAATTAGACATTTTAATGTATTTGATCTATACAATATAAAGTCAAAGACGAAGCAATGTCTTGGCACATATTACATTAAATGAAAGGGTTACTAGCTAAAATGCATCAGATTAGAGATGAGGTTATAAACAATTTTAATCTTAAAGAAGGATGTGTTTCAATGAAATATATCACTTAGATGTCATGATTATAACTAAGTGGTATATTTTGGTACAAAAAAATTCAGAAATAAACAAAATTGAAAAATAAATTTTTATTTTACTTCTGCAAGCTACCTCTTAAATCTCAGAAATCTGAAGACAAAGTTCACACATATTTTCAGAAACAGTTCAAGCACATATCACATTAAATGAAAGGGTTGCTAGCTAAAATTTATCAGATTAGAGATGAGGATATAGACAGTTTTAATTTTAAAGAAGAGTGTGTTTCAATGAATTATATCACTTAGATATCATGATCATAACTAAGCATTGTATTTTGGTACAAAAATACACATGAATCAAAACTTCAATGTTCACAAAATGTTTATTGGTATAGATACTGAGAAACATCATGGAAAGGATAAAGAAGAAATCTTTATGCACACAGCACAGTGAAATAAAGAAGAGCAGCTTAGGCAATGGATCCTGGATCAGGAAACATACCACAGATGGCCAAGTGTTCAGTAAAACCCAGTGGACCAGTATCCTCCATAGAAAGAGGGATGAGAGTAGCCATAGCCATAGCCATAACCACCATAGCCCCCAAGACCATAGCTGGACCCATAGCCATAGCCCAGGCCACTGAAGCCACCAAGGCCATAGCCAAGACCTCCATAGTAGTTGCCATAGTAGTAGCTCATGGTGTCAGAGGCTGAAGTAAGCTTGGTGTTGAAGGTGTTTTGGAGGGAATGGACATCTCCACTGCTCCTGGGTTTTTATACCCTGTTGATGCAGGCATGGCAAACCACAGCTTGATTTCTTCTCTTCGAAAGCTCATCTTTAGATAAAAATAGTACTATTTAGTCACACCTTTTTAGAAGGATGGCTCCAAAGATGCATGAAGGCTTGGAGTTTAGCTTAATTTCCATACCTCAGAACCTGACATTTTATTGAACATAGTTATTAGCAGTTACTAGTCATTTGAACATTAATCATGAGTTTTTGGCTTCAATGCTTTTGCTTTTACACGGTTCTCCATCTAAATCTTAGCAATCAGACTGTCTTCATGTAGCCTGTGGTTTTTGCATGCCAATGGTCTCCGTTTTGCCTTTAAATGTTTTTTACCTAAAGAAAATGCATTTTTATATGAGTCAACCAATATAAATTTGTTAAGCCATTTTAAATGACTAAAATTCATTTAAGACCATGAAAATGCATAGTTTTCAGAAAGAGAATATAGAAATAAATGACCTTCTGAAATGGTTTTCCTTTTGCATTTTTGAGGCTGTATTTTACTATATATCCCCAGGCTGCAAGTGAACTTGCAGTTACTTGCCTCAACTTCCCCAGTGCTGTGGTGACAGGTAGGAACCACCATCCCCAATTTGCTGAACACTCTTTAAAACTTATGTCATTCCACAAAATAACCCATGCCTACAATTTCAAGTTTCTGCTTACTTTCTAGATAGCCATTCTGCCTAGATAAGTCCCCCAATTTCTTCCTTAAACCTGCATGTTCTTTCTTACTTTAAAGTTTTGTTCAGACTTCTTTCTGAAATAACATTTCCTGCTCATTTTAGATCCTCCTCTATCAATCCAGTGTTCAAGCATCTGTTCATATCTATTGCTTTTTCAAATAGATACTGCCTCTAGAAGAATTAGTTTATTTCATCTTTTCCTGATTACTTGAACTGTTTCTAAAAATATGTGTAAATTTTGTCTTCAGATTTCTGAGACTTAAGAGGTAACCTTGAGGAAGAAAAGGAAAATTTTATTTTTCAATTTTGTTTATTTCTGAAGTCCTTTAAATTTTATGATTATTTTATGGGAGAGTTTTAATGAGGAGATGTTAGACTTTGTATTACCTATATATTAATCACATTTGTAAAATATTAAAAATGACATATCATTGTGTCATAAGGACTGTCATAATCTGATGGATAGGGATGAAAAGTAATAACCTATAACTGGTCCTTCCACATCCTCATCTGGGTTTTTTTTTTGTTGCTGTTGCACTTGGTACGTGTGACTGAATATCTAATTGAAAAAATAGATGAATTTTATCAAAAATAAGGCAGTATATAGAAAAGTAAAATAGTATGTCATGACACTAATTTTAAGTGTGAAGAAGGAAATAACTATTATAGAAGTTGAAATATCTTGTTAAACAATTCTGAAAAAAAGTGTAATCTGAGTTGCATCTAGAATTTGGCAAAGTAATTATATGAAGATTGAGGAGGGGACTCCAGCAAGGAGTGGATGTTCAGTTATCACCAGAGACAAAGGTGCATAAAAGGTATTTACTGTGTGATATGTATTATACTCTGAACTCTGCAGCTTGATAGTACTTGGAGGATGTCCCTCTAAGTCACACTGTCCTTTTAAAGAACGAAGAAGTAGGAGTTGGAAGAGTGGAAAAGACAAAGACCTACCAAAATCTGTAGCTCTTAATACACTGATATTCACAGACAAGTATCAAACACAGAAGCTGTTAACGTTGCTTTTCCTAATGAACTGTGATACGTTATACGTCTTTGGATTAATTTTATTGTTTAAAAGGTTAAGAAAAAATTGTATCATCCCATAAAATTTCTCATTTCTGTTTAAAGCAGTACATATAATTCTGATGAAGTCTACTTCTTCATATTTATGCTTAGTCAAAAATCAATTGAAAGGGAAATATATTGGAAAACAATCATAAGTAAAACATCAACAACAACTTAGTTTTAATTAAAAACCATGCTGGAAGTATTATTTTGTTTCTCAATGATAATAATTTCACTGATATTTCAGGATGGTTAGCATTTTACTAATCCAGTATATTCTTTTACAACCATATACATACATGATACATTGAAATTGCTTTTACCTCCACCTTCTTTTAACTCCTCCCATACCTGTGAACAGCCCCACCACCTTACAGCTCCCTTTCCCATGAATATGCCTTTTTTGTTTTGTTTTGTGAATCACTGGGTTTAACCAGGGTCATCTGTGTGGCCATGGATATTAATTCATCCAAAGGAACATGGTGGGATCACCAGTGGACACACATTGAATACAATGATTCCACTTCCCCAGAATCTATCAGTAGTCAGTTGTGCAGCAGGGAGAAGTAGGGCTTCATGAGCCTCTTCCTCATCCATGACTGACCATTGACAGGCCCACTGGTGAAGGCCCAGCATAGGTAGCCACAGTTTCTGTGAGTTCATGATTACAGTGGCTGCATCATGCGCAGAAGACAGCAATTCACAGCCTTTCTCCCTATCTTCTGCCTTTTACACTCTTACTTTTCTGAGGCATTCCCTGAGCCTCAGAGTGGGCGGTATAAACACTGTCCTTAGTGCTGAGCAATCAAATACCTATTTGTCAACATGGTGAGCAGCCAAGAGTCTCTGTATTCATCCCTGTTTGTTGCAAAGAAAGAGTTCTCTAGCTGATTTTGAGAGTATCATTTGCCTGTGAGCATAAACAACGATGTTTTGGAAAGTAGTTTGACACCGTGTCATTTGAGCAAAACAGTAGTAAGAAGTTCTCCCCTAGAGCCCATGGTCTCTCTGGTCATGATTTTTTGACTGGTTTTACAGCACCAGGCTATGTTCTCTCATGTGCAGTAGGCCTTAAATCCAGTCATAGAGCAGTGGGTTTCTACCACAACAGTCATGCTACTATTGCACAAGTGAGAACACCATGCATGTCAGGTTCGAATTCTATTTTGTGAGGTAAGAATGGTTTTGTGGGTTAAGAATGATGACAACCTTTCTCTCCATCAGCCTACCTGGCATCTTCCAGCTGTCAGAGAGGAAGCTTGTAGCTCAGTTCCAGCTTGATCTATTTCTTGAAAAGAAATCATTTGTGCAGAGTTCATCAATAGGATATTGTTATCTAGTTCTGGTGACAATCAAACAGAATGGCAAGAGCTTGTATTGTTTAGAAGGATATGGGAGTTGCCCTGATCAACACAGTCATGCAGAGGCATTGCAACTCTGATACTGGGATTTTTGTTTAGTGGCTTATGGCTTCTAGGAGCAGCATTATCCATATCTCTGGCTATCTTCCTCCTTTACTCTTCTGTTGTTGTTGTTGGTGGTGGTGGTGATGGTGGTGGTGCTGATGGTGGTGGTGATGGTAGTGGTGGTCATGGTGGTGGTGATGGTGGTCGTGGTCATGGTGGTGGTACTGCTGGTGGTGATGGTGGTGGTGATGGTGGTGGTGGTGGTGGTAGTGGTGATAGTGGTGCTGATGGTGGTGGCGGTGGTGGTGATGGTGGTGCTGATGGTGGGTTGGTGGTGGTGGTGATGGTGGTGGTGCTGATGGTGGTGGTGATGGTAGTGGTGGTCATGGTGGTGGTGATGGTGGTCGTGGTCATGGTGGTGGTACTGCTGGTGGTGATGGTGGTGGTGATGGTGGTGGTGGTGGTGGTAGTGGTGATAGTGGTGCTGATGGTGGTGGCGGTGGTGGTGATTGTGGTGCTGATGGTGATGGTGATGGTGATGGTGATGGTGGTGGTGGTAGATTTTTGATACAGGGTTTCCTCATAGCCCCACCTGACTTGGAACTCACTACCTGTGGTCTGCTTGCCTCTGCTTCCTGAGTGCTGGGATTAAGGGCCTAGCCCTTATGCTCTTTTCAAATTATATATTTTTAATTGTTCTAAAAGATAGTATATTTTCTTATACCTTTACTACGCACCCTTCATTTTCGCTAACCTCCCCCGGCTCTTGTCTCCCCCCTTTCCCCACTTCCATCCCCGCTTTATTCACCTTCCTTTACTTATTTTTTGACAGTTTCATACAGGAGCACTATATTTATGACCCCAAATCAGCTCTCTCCCACACCAATTCCTACAGTACCCCCCACTCCCTCTCAACCTCCTAAACTCTTCACTGAATAATATTGTTGCATATAAATCTTTCCCCTCCACTATTCCCCCAACTCTATTTCATATCATCTATTTTCCTCTTGCTTTGGAGGCATCCTCCACACCTGAATAAGCATTTCTTGTTTATCGGATTCTAAAGGTACCAAAATTAGACAGAGAACTAAAGATTCACAAATTAGAGGGAACATGTATTCTTTGATTTTATGATCCTTCATTACCTGAATCAGTATACTTTTTGCGGTTGTCCATTTACCTGCAAATTTCATAATTTCATTTTTCTTTAGCCAACTAAAATTTCATTGTATATAGGTACCATCTTTTCCTTATCCATTCATCAGCTGACAGACATCTAGGTTGATTCCATTCCCTAGGTATTGTGAACAGAGCAATAATGAAAACGGCTGAGCTAGTGTCTCTACAGTAGGATACAAACGCTTGAATGTGTTCCCAAGTGGTAAAGCTGGGTGGTCATGTGGTACTTCTTGAGAAACCTCCAGACAGATTTCCAAAGTGGCTGCTCTAGTTTACATTCCCACGGTGCTTAGGGGCTCCCTCTTCTTCACAATCACACTCACATTTGTTCTCATCTGTACTTTTGATCTTCAGCATTATGACTGGGGAGAGCTGGATTCTTAAAGTGGTTTTACTCTGCATTTCATTGATAGCTTTCTTAAGTATTTACTGGTCATTTGTATGTGTTCTTTGGAGAAGCCTGTTCAGTTCTGGTTGTTTTATTCAATTTTTGCATATTGAATACAATGAATCTTAATCTTATTTAGACCCCTTCCCTCATCCACACCCTCCATAGCCTCCCCATTGGAT